TGAGCATGGCCTCCAATCCCCTTGTCTTGAATTGTACTGTCTCCTTTATGCTGCACAAACTAAATGATACAAATCCTGTATAATAATAATAATAATAATAATAATGCACAGAGACACTAAGGAAACATTGCACAAGGTTATGGTACCTCCTGTACCAGGACAGAGACAGAAGTGTAACCGCAGAAAAAGACCAAGTGGTCCAGCAAGTTGGCCCCGTTTCTAGTTATCTGTTTTTAACATTTTCTTGGTCTTAGAATAGATCTCGGATTGTCCCAAGCATGTTTAAAGTCACTTACAGCTAACTCGCTACCTCTGCTGGAAGTCTGTTCCAAACATCAACTACTTTTTCAGTGAAATAAGGTCAGTTTTGAACTTTCCTCCTGCTAGTTTGATGACACGTCCCCGTGTTCTTGATTTTAGTTTCATACTGATACGGTGGTGAAACATTTTCAGGGGGCACAGCTTTAATATCATCATGTGGAGATGTCAATTTATGGCCTTTTCAAACTAAAGGAGGATGATTTACAATGACTGTGTTTGTAGTTTGAGTGATAGCACCTCCACTTACAAATAAATGAATACTTATTGGCAGCACTTCTAGATTATATGTGATCAATAAAAGTCACACACATAATAAAAAAACCTGAAAGCTATTATTGGTACTAGTGATTAGTATAGGCTGCAGAGTACACAGTCCCCGGCCCTTATCCACAACTAATCAATATTACATACTAAAGCCATGAAACTGCCTGACAACAGCACCATCCTAACGCTCCTCTGGGGGAATCTCCCAAATGACAATATCCACCAACAGCCTGATTTATAGGGACAGTCCTCAAATGCAGATTTTCTGCCGGATTTGCAGGCACTTGTCCCCGTATTAGATTCATTTCATACCTCCTTCTTAGATTATTTGGACTGTTCAGATTACTATGTACTAGGAAAAACATGAGCATGCAAATAATGAATTACATGTGTGCAATCCATTGTGGAAAAAACCATCAATGTGAATGGTGTCGTATTTGCGGTGATGCTGGCCTCATACATTACAATATGATTGTACCCTTAGATTTACCAGCAGATACGCAGTGTGAACGACGCATATGAATTGTGTGGATGGTTGTTTGTAAATATAAGGAAGGTTGGAAAATCTAAAGAAATCCCTGGTGCCCAACCTGTGGCCCTCTGGCAATTGTTGTGCAGAACATGGGGCCCCTTCATTGTTATTATATAGCGCCAACAGTTTGCACAGCGCTTTACAATATAAGGAAGACATTACAATCACAATACAATTCAAGACAAGATGGGAAGGAGGGCCCTGCGTCTGAGGACTTACAATCTAGCAGTTGTCTACGTTTTGTTGCTTACTCAAGCCAGTAAAGAAAGAAAAAATTGACTGAAGCCAAACTCCAGGGAATGTAAATGTTTTCTGCTGCAGTGAGGCTTCCCCATACTGGAAGTGTTAAGGTGCCCATACACTGCACGATTCTCGTACGAGAATCGCGGGGAATCGTGCAGTGTATGGAAGGCGTGCGACCGTTTCTACTGTGCGGTCGCACGTCTTCCGTCGAACCAGCAGGCTAGAAAACCCGCCGGGAATCGTACGATTCTCGGCGAGTTAGTGGCCTGCTGGTTCGACAACTGCCGAACGGGCCGGTGTGTGCACGCGCACACAGCCTGTTTGCAGTGATCGTAAGCCCGCCCCTCATTGCAGTCATCGTAAGCCCGCCCCTCATTGCAGTCATCGTAAGGGGGGCTTGCGATGATCGCAAGTACGATCTGCCTGTCCAAGATGGGCAGATCGTGCGTTTTTTTAAGTACTTTACAACCCTTGCAAGACAAAAGTCTTGCGAGGGTTGTAAAGTGTATGGCCACCTTTATAGAGGAACTTCGTCCTCGTCTTTAAAATGACAACAAACACACCTAGAAATGATTAGTAATTACGATCTATAAACACATGCTGACAGATCATTGTCAGCTTTGTATTCTTTGCATAACTTATTTCTCTTCTCCTCCCCAGTCTTCTGGCAGTGGCCATGTTTACTAAGGGCAGGTTAATCCATCTAGGTTTCCTATAACACGTATGCTGACCACCACTGTTGTATAGCCTCATGAACACGGGAACATGGTAGCCATACATGTCAAAGGTGCATTTACCTGTCCGGGAAGCAACAAGTGCTGCGTACAGCTGCCCAAAGACTTCTATGGCAGTACAAGGCTGTACGGTACTTCTGTATCTGTGTTCAGGGTTGTTAGTAGACATGTGCGAGTTTACAAAACAGCACACGGTAGATAATGGCCAGGCAGTGTCAGTATACAGCACAGATAGATAATGGACAGGCAGTGTCAGTATACAGCACAGGTAGATAATGGACCGGCAATGTCAGTATACAGCACACGGTATATAATGGACAGGCGGTGGCAGTATACAGTACACGGTATATAATGGACAGGCAGTGTCAGTATACAGTACACGGCATATAATGGACAGGCGGTGTCAGTATACAGTAGACGGTATATAATGGACAGGCAGTGTCAGTATACAGTACACGGCATATAATGGACAGGCGGTGTCAGTATACAGTAGACGGTATATAATGGACAGGCAGTGTCAGTATACAGTACACGGCATATAATGGACAGGCGGTGTCAGTATACAGTAGACGGTATATAATGGACAGGCAGTGTCAGTATACAGTACACGGCATATAATGGACAGGCGGTGTCAGTATACAGTAGACGGTATATAATGGACAGGCAGTGTCAGTATACAGTACACGGCATATAATGGACAGGCGGTGTCAGTATACAGTAGACGGTATATAATGGACAGGCAGTGTCAGTATACAGTACACGGCATATAATGGACAGGCGGTGTCAGTATACAGTAGACGGTATATAATGGACAGGCAGTGTCAGTATACAGTACACGGCATATAATGGACAGGCGGTGTCAGTATACAGTAGACGGTATATAATGGACAGGCAGTGTCAGTATACAGTACACGGCATATAATGGACAGGCGGTGTCAGTATACAGTAGACGGTATATAATGGACAGGCAGTGTCAGTATACAGTACACGGCATATAATGGACAGGCGGTGTCAGTATACAGTAGACGGTATATAATGGACAGGCAGTGTCAGTATACAGTACACGGCATATAATGGACAGGCGGTGTCAGTATACAGTAGACGGTATATAATGGACAGGCAGTGTCAGTATACAGTACACGGCATATAATGGACAGGCGGTGTCAGTATACAGTAGACGGTATATAATGGACAGGCAGTGTCAGTATACAGTACACGGCATATAATGGACAGGCGGTGTCAGTATACAGTAGACGGTATATAATGGACAGGCAGTGTCAGTATACAGTACACGGCATATAATGGACAGGCGGTGTCAGTATACAGTAGACGGTATATAATGGACAGGCAGTGTCAGTATACAGTACACGGCATATAATGGACAGGCGGTGTCAGTATACAGTAGACGGTATATAATGGACAGGCAGTGTCAGTATACAGTACACGGCATATAATGGACAGGCGGTGTCAGTATACAGTAGACGGTATATAATGGACAGGCAGTGTCAGTATACAGTACACGGCATATAATGGACAGGCGGTGTCAGTATACAGTAGACGGTATATAATGGACAGGCAGTGTCAGTATACAGTACACGGCATATAATGGACAGGCGGTGTCAGTATACAGTAGACGGTATATAATGGACAGGCAGTGTCAGTATACAGTACACGGCATATAATGGACAGGCGGTGTCAGTATACAGTAGACGGTATATAATGGACAGGCAGTGTCAGTATACGCTATATAATGGACAGGCGGTGGCAGTATACAGTACACGGTATATAATGGACAGGCAGTGTCAGTATACAGTACACGGCATATAATGGACAGGCGGTGTCAGTATACAGTACACGGTATAAAATGGACAGGCGGTGTCAGTATACAGTACACGGTATATAAATGGACAGGCGGTGTCAGTATACAGTACACGGTATATAATGGACAGGCGGTGTCAGTATACAGTACACGGTATATAATGGACAGGCGGTGTCAGTATACAGTACACGGTATATAATGGACAGGCAGTGTCAGTACACAGTACACGGCATATAATGGACAGGCGGTGTCAGTATACAGTAGACGGTATATAATGGACAGGCAGTGTCAGTATACGCTATATAATGGACAGGCGGTGGCAGTATACAGTACACGGTATATAATGGACAGGCGGTGTCAGTATACAGTACACGGCATATAATGGACAGGCTGTGTCAGTATACAGTACACGGTATATAATGGACAGGCAGTGTCAGTACACAGTACATAATGGACAGGCAGTATCAGTATACAGTACACGGTATATAATGGACAGGGTGGGTATGCACAGTAAACAATGTATGGCGTTGGTAGGTCCATGTACTGTATACAATGTATGGAATGTAAAGGGTGGTGTATATACAATGTATGGAGTGGTAGAACCATGTACAGTACACAATGTATGGACTCTATAGGTCTGGTATGTACTGTACACAATGTATGGAGCAGTAAGACAATGTACAGAATACAATGTATGGACTGTATAGGTCTGGTATATACAGTATACAATGTATGGACTCTATAGGTCTGGTATGTACTGTATACAGTGTATGGAGTGTAATAGGTGGTGTATATACAGTATACAATGTATGGACTCTATAGGTCTGGTATGTACTGTATGGAGTGTAATGGGTGGTGTATATACACTATACAATGTATGGACTCTATAGGTTTGGTATGTACAGTATATGTGTGGAGTCAGTAGGTCTGGTGCACATACTGTATATAGGTCTGGTATGTACTGTATTGAATGTATGGTGTGTAAAGGGTGGTGTATATACAGTATACAATGTATAGAGTCGGTAGGATCATGTACAGTATACACAGCACAGCCCGGACGTCCTCACACCCCTCCCTCCCGGTTCACCTTAAACGGGTTGTTCAGGTCAGGATCCGCGAACGGGTTGCTGTCGAAGTCGGACATGGTGCTGACAGACACGGGCAGCTCGCCGGGCACACACCCGCACGAACCGCTAGCCCAAGCCGAAAAAAATGGCTGTCCCGGAAATGACGTCACCTTCTCAACCCGACTGCAATTGTAACCGGTGGCGCAGGGAAAGGGAGAGGAGAGGCGCCCCGTGTGGAGTCATGGAGAGCCGTGACTGGACCGGGCTGTATGTGCACTGGTCACCGAGACACAACGCTCAATGAACTCACTGCCGTACTGCTTGGACTGCCCATGTTCACCTCATAAGGCTTACAGGCATAGTTCACATTTTGCCAAAAAGTAATAAATTCACCCTAATAAATAAATAAAAATGTGCATTTATCTCTTGCAATAAACCCTGCAGAACATTTACAGGTGTGCTTAGCATACTATGTCCTGAGTTTTACATCTGTGCGTGTCATGCTTACATCCCAGCCCCAGGTCTGTATGGGGGTAGGTTCTTTTGAAGCCTGGGCTGGAGGAAATAAACAATGGACTACAAGTGAGGAGACCTCCCCACACTTGCGCTCCATTGAGCTCTATGAGTTCCTATGCTGTGGTGGCAGATGGGACTTGTAGTCTTTCCATTCTCAGATTTCTGTGAATGGATGCTGCTGCTGTGTGGGCGGAGCCATGACAAATTGCAATCAGAACAGAAGAAGCACCATGTGATTCAGGTATAGGGGGGCAATTCCAGGGTGTGGGGGGCCTGGGAATGTGACCATGGCTCACATTACACCCTTAATAAGGAGGTGACATAAAACGTGGTCTTAATGAAGTTGTAAAGTCCCAGCACATCCTCTACTGTAATAGGAAGACATACTAGAGTTGTTTTTACTAATACAATCAAAGCTTACATGAAAAATGTCCTTTTATATAATGAGTGCTTCCTTCTGTCTGCCCATCACTTCCATCAACTTCCTGGACTCCCAGTGTGCTTTGCGTCTCTTTCCCTGCTGCTTGCTATGATGCAATCTCCATTTCTCAGCACTACAGATCCCATTATGCATTGCTTCCAGAGAGCAATGACAATGTTACACTGTGGGACATTCAGACAAGGTTTGGTTAATCAAAAAAAGCTCCATAGGTTGACCGCTCCATTCTAAGTTCCTCTGCGATCAGTCCACATTCTGGGTGCTTCCCACTTGTTCAAACTAATCCTCAAAAGATCAGCCGCACAAAACCAGAATGAGTGCAATCCAAAAGTTTATTGAAATATTCCAGATTCCAAAAAAAGTAAGTAAATCCCAGAGAACAATGAACAGCATGTACATCGCCAGAAGCATCTCCCACACCACGCCTCTCACGCGTTTCACCACCTGGGCTTCATCACAGGCGTCCTTTTGAAGGTTTAGTTGATGTTACATTGTTCAGATGTTGTGTTGTAGTTCAGACGGCAGGCCTTGTGAGAGTTGTGACACAATCAAGTACATATTCACAGGGCTGAGTGAAATTGTGTCAGTACATTGAGCAAGATCATCCTATGGACATCTTCAGTAAGTACGTTTATAAACTTCTAGAGGGATATTAGGAGCGGGATAGAACTTATGGGAATTTAATATACAAATACAGATTTATTTTTATTATTTGTTTGACCACAGATACCCTTTAAGGGGGAACTATGTCTATAACTTAGGGAGCTTTACACGGGATAAGGAGTGGGGATGGGGGGGTTCTTCCCACCCCTCCCCCTACACTGAGGAATCCCTACTGACCATAGACCCCCCATAGTGAGTATCTACCTTTGAATGATATGTACAATGTATTTTGGAGTATGGAGAGATTGGCTGATATTTGTCACCTATAACAATATATTTGTAATGTCTCTAAAATGACTTTATACTCTTGTCCCTATTAGAATATTTTCACCTCATCCCCTGAAGAAGCAATCAGTGAAACATTTTGTAAAGCAAGCATATCACTGATAAGGACAATTGATATTATTACTGTAGCTGCACCACCTCAGAAGGCTTGTGATGTTATGTGGAAATCATTTATAGACAAGCTGATAAGAGTATTGTCAGAGTACTTTAGTCAGCACCCGTAGTACAGCTCCTGTCCGGATTGCTGCAGGAGCCGGTGTGCAGTTGCATTGCGTGTTCTGTGCTACGGTTCCACTATTGCACATAGGAATGCACATGTGTGAAAACGTTCTTGTTCTTGGTGCCAGGCGGATGACTCCTGCATCTGCACCATGCTGAGAGATCTTTAGCTGTATCCTGCATGCGTGATCCTGTTCCTGATACCTGTGTGACCCGCCTTGATTCCTGCCTGATTGCTGCCTGCCTTGTGACCTCGGCTTGTCTCCTGACCATCCTTCTGTCTTCTGATTTGGCACCACTCTGCGCACAAGTGTATGACCCGGCCTGCTCCTGACATCACTTCTGTCTCCTGCTTCTGCGCCACGCTGACCGCACGTTACCGATCTGGCTTGTTCCTGACTCCGATTCACCAGTGCTGTCTGATCTGTTATCAGCCACCAGCTACCTCTGGCATCCAGTCGTCAGCACCATCATCTCCGGTGTATCATTTATCTATATCAGCCACAGGAACTCATGTCCCTCTCTGTCTGTACAACTGCTGTCTCATCTCCAGTGGGGCTCAGACGAGAGCTGCAAGGGGAGGCCTTCCTCGTCACTTCAGGCTCACACCAAGATATGTGCAATGCCGGATTTACTCTCCCTGCCGCCCCAAGGCCAGGTTCTGTGATGCGCCCTCTCCCAGCCCCCCCTTACAGGAGTTCTAGCACAGCACTGTGCTGGAACTCATGTGACAGGTGAGAGAGGAAGAGCACAGCTCTCCCCTCTCACTGTCTACACGGAGCGGCAGGGTTGCTTTTAACCCTGCCGCTCTGCTCCCTGCAGTGAGAGACTCGGCGGCGGAGGACGGAACCAGAGTAAAGAGGTAAGTGCAGGGGGGCCGGGGAGGAGGCTGCACACTGTTTGCATGTGTCTCGCCGAGTGAACGAAAAATCAGCTGCCTCACTCTACATTTAGTCCTGCTTGTACAAAGCAGGACTGAATGTAGAGAGGGCAACTTCCCCACAAGGACACCTCTGCCGCCCCTCTGCGCCCTGCCGCCCCGAGGCCGGGCCTCGGTGGCCTTGTGTGGAATCCGGGCCTGGATATGTGACAGGTATAGTCTTAAACTTAAAGCCAAACTCTAGGAAAAAATGGTAACTTACACACTGCGCTGGGTGTGTAAAATATCATTATAAAGCTGCGTGTTTTACTTTTTCATTTACTTTGAAATTGTATCATAATATGCAATACATCTTATAGTTTTCACTTATTTAATGGGTAACATGTACTTTATGATGTGAATAAGTTCCAGTACCATAACCAGAGTTTGTTCTTGTCATTTGTCATTTCACCGGTCTAATTGTCTTCTTACCCTTTTCTTCCAATCCTTAAAGGAGAACTATGAGGTGAGTGCTTTTCACTCACCTCATACCGTGTTTCCCCGAAAATAAGACACTGTCTTATATTTTTTTGGGCTCAAAAAAACACACTAGGTCTTATTTTCGGGGTAGGTCTTTTTTTTTTAATGTACAACAATCCACACTTATTCTTGTACAAAAATATGGTGATCAGGGAAATCGGGGGTGCCGTACTTTTCCAAGAGTAATATGGTAACCAATCGCTGGCCAGAATGAGCGAAACGCGCTTTCACTATCGATTCCTCACAGGTGGAGTGCATTTGGTATCACTGTGAGAGGAGCCGGCGCTATAGAGGAGGCATCGGCTTATGCGGCTCTGCTCCCTCCGCTGCCGCCTCGCTTCCTCTAGCGCTGGCTTCGTTGGCACCACTGATTATCTCCGGCTCTTCAAGTTCCCCCCTATGCCACCACCGGCCCCGGGAATGGTCACAACTAGGTCTTATTTTCGGGGTAGGTCTTATTTTCGGGGAAACAAGTTTCATTGTCACAGGTCGGCGCAGTAGATCGGGAAGTGAGCGAGCACATACCGACGTTCGCTCACCTCTCGATCCTGTCACAGATCTCTGCCGTGACAGGGGAGGGGCTGGATTCCACCCTCCCCGCTCCGATCCTCCAGCGCTGACTGGCTGAACGGACGGGGCAGGGGGCCTCTAGATAGGCAGAGCCAGCTGTCACTCACACAGCTGGGTGGATCCAGACATAATTGTCGGGATCCGCTCCGGCTGCGGTGTCTCAGTATACCGCGAGCTGTAGCTCGCGGTATACTGAGCTTTGGGCACGGGAAAACTCTAGTTTGTGTCCTCCCGTTACCCTTAGGAGAACTATGTGGAAAAGCCCTGACCCCATAGTTCTCCTTTAATATTTTTCTTATATTATTGGACATGAGTGTTCTTATGTCATATATGCCTTTTTCAATAATCTTTGAATATCTTTATGCGATTTATGTTCTGTTTATTTGTTTAAATTAATACAACTTAAATAAATAATAATAAAAAATAAAGCTGGGTGTTATGTATGGAGGTCAGCTGCAAAGTATATGAATTGCAAAGTGCCGGCTCCTACACACTTGGCTTCTGGGCACTGTGGGGAGTAAGAGATGTGACCCGAGCAGTGAAGTGCTTCAGTCGCATCTCTGCCCCTCCTCACTACTTGCCCGTTCACAAAATGCCTTGTATTTTTCTCACAGAATACAAGAAAGGGAATTTATCAAAATTGGAGCAGACAAAATCTGGAGCAGCTGTGCATGACAACCAATCAGCTTCCCTCTTTCATTTTCAAATTGTAAAGGTGCCCACACACTGCTCGATTCTCGTACGAGAATCGCGGGAAATCCCGCGATCGTACGAGAATCGAGCAGTGTGAACGGAGACGTGCGACCGTTTCTACTGTACGGTCGCACGTCTTCCGTCGAACCAGCATGTTCGAAAACCAGCCGGGAATCGTACGATTCTCGGCTGGTTAGAACGTTGCTCGGAAGACAAATGCCGAACGGGCCGGTGTGCGCATGCGCACACTGCCCGTTCAGCATTGCGGTCATCGGAAGCCCGCCCCACAGGGGGGCGGGCTTGCGATGATCGAGAGTGCGATCTGCC